CCCCAAAACCCCAAAACCCCAAAACCCCAAAACCCCAAAACCCCAAAACCCCAAAACCCCAAACATCTTTATCTCGATTGTTACAATATTAATTAAAAGTATTTATTTAGAAAAATGCACGCAAATCAAGACCCAAATGGCAATGATACAGTAGATGAAGGTTTGAATAGTAACCAGCTTCTTGAAAAAGCAGGAGGGTATGGAAGAATGCAGTGGTATATCCTGTTGTACGTTGTTATCTGCAGACAAGGATTAAGCTTTATCCTATTCAGTCTTCCATTTTCAGAGATTGTTCCAAGATTGGAGTGCTATGACCAATCTTCAGGAGCTTTCTTAGAATGTACTGTAAGGATTTTCATTTTGGAGTATTAAAATTGCAATTAACACATAAAGTACAGGGCATGGAATAACCTTCTATAGAAAGACCAAATCTGTATGGGAGACACTCTAATCGATAGGTACATAATATCTTCTAAGTCCTGGTCTCTATCTACGGTACTTTTATGTGCGATTACTATAATGAAATTTCTATCATTCATCTGCTCTCAAGTGTTTCCTCGGAAAGGTATTTTTATCAAGCAAATAGATTTAATTAAAAGATTCTTTACTGCCAGTAAGCAACTGTTTTCTTGTTTCAATTATAAATCACATAAAACTATTCTTCCATAAAAGTATTTGATAATAGTTGTCAAATAATTTGTGCGTTGCCTGTTCTCGTGAGATATGGAATATCATCGATTTTGCAGTAAATTGCATCGAAAACCAAACTAATTTTATGAACTTAAATATTAACCTTGAACACATTTAAGAGTCTTGAGTATTCACAAATCCTTAAATTTAGGAACTTATGGCGCCCAGATTTCTCAAACTACAGAAGCTTCAAGAATTGGATGACAGAGCTTGAACTCTACTGTTATAGTGACTTCATGATTGGGCTTCTCGGCTCAGTAGTATTCATTGGCTTTGCCCTTGGTGGAATTGTACTCAAACAATCGGATACATTCGGCAGAAAAAAAATCATCTTGAGTGGATACATTTTAGCATGAGTATGCTCGATAATACTCTACTTTTGTAAGAATATGTATGTTATCTATGTAACACTGTTCTTCAGTGGATTTTCGTTCTACAAAGATTTCTGATTATACATTTACCTCCTCGAAATCACCCCGCAAAAGTACCAAGTGTATGTAGGAAGTGTGTTCCAATCTTGTGCTGCAGTTTTAAGTGTCATCCCTGTCTGCTTGTTTCTCATTTTAGGTGGTGAAAATCTGCAAGATATGTTCACAGTTGGATTAGCTTTGTCCATGGTCAGCCCAATAATGACTTTTTTCATCCCTGAATCTCCTAAATATTTGTATGAAAAGAAGATGTATCCTGAACTGAGAGAAACATTATCATCGATTTCAGCTACAAATCGTGTTGAAATGGGTCAGTACTATGTAAAAGGTGAAGTCTCACTTGAAAGTATGGAGCTTCAAGGTAATCGATAGTGTCATTTTAGATCGTAAATTTGTGAAATTGAATCCAAAAACCAGTCGTGAGATATCAGTCTCCCCAAGTTCGAACCAGATCTCTGAATCATTACAAACGCCTTTGATAAATCACCACAAGGAGGAGTTTTCTATCGTCATGTACTTAAAAGAGAAGACGAGATTGATAAACTTCATCAGTGTTGTTATTTGTTTCTGCATCATATCTTTCAACTACTACGAGATCTCCTTCGCTCTAAAATACATCGATGGTGACATCTACATCAACCTACTAAGCACATGTATCTCTGAAACACTAGGCAATTTCTCAGGTTCGATAATCCAAAAATACTTTGGATCGCGACTAGGAATGGTGGTCTGCTATTGCCTTTCCTTCCTATCAGTTCTGTGCCTCCTCTTCACAACAAATCCAGGAGTGATAGTCACAGCAGTGTTCTTCGGGAAGTTTTTTATTTCAGGAGCATTCATTATAGCTTACTTCATAAACACAGAGATGTTCTGAGCTCTGTTCATCCCCTTCTCCTTCGCAGTGTGCAACTTCTGTTCAAGACTGTTTACAATGATGGCTCCCCAGGTCGCAGAGATGAAGCCCAGACAGATCTCTATAATCGTGTTCATGGCTTTACTCGTAGTTGCAAGCTTGTGAGCACTGGCTATAAGGAATAGGTAAAATTCAAGTTTTGAACAGAAACATTCAATTTTGGTAGTGAAATTTGGGGTTTTGGGGTTTTGGGGTTTTGGGGTTTTGGGG